CCCCCTCGTGTGCGCTTGCGTTCGCTGTCTACAGGTGTGCCCAGGCAACCACGTGAGTCTTGCGTCCGTGACAAGTAGAGTTCCGAACGTTTTCGATGAACTATCTCGGGGGACGGCATGTAGTCGTTCCTTGTGTGGGATTTTCACAAACAGGGCGTGTATCGTCCCCTGCTAGTTTTCTTGAAGTCGATACAGCGCTTTTTGAATAACAAATGTCGTGTGGGTTGTTGTTGAAGTTGCAGATGGTCGGGATTATGGTGCTCGTGGTTTGTATGATGGGTGTTGCTGACAATGTTAACCTTGGTGTGTATGTTCATGGTCAAGGCCGTTCACACGACGCCATTTTTTTTCTTCCCGCAGCCGTTCTTTTTTTTTCTTTGCTCCCGATTTTTTTTGTGACAATGATTGCCCCATCACGTAGTGAGAACGCCACCTTGGTCAGCGGAAGGAAAAGGACTAAGCTCCCGTAACGAACGCGTTGCCGATGTGGCGTCGTTTTCCGCCTACAGGGGCAAGGGCAAACAGGTCCATCGCTACTTTACGGAGGAGGCGGGACAGGGAGCGAGGGCAACGGTGGGTTAGGGGGTAGGGGTCAAAATATGTCGGTCCAATCGAACTTCGAGTTTGCTACGTCTCTCTGGTGGCATTCAATTTTGCAGAGTTTTTTTTTTTTTCCTTTTTGCCCTTAGGTTAGACAGTTTTTTGGCTCTCGGGAAGTAATTGGATCCATGGCTCCGGTTTGTTTGAGTTGGGGGGATATGGCCGGACGTGATTGCAACATAGAGGTCACCTGTAGAATTATTATTGGATGGGCTCGTTGGGAGGTGTGGTCGGGACGTGATTCCTCCGTTAATTTCACCTCTAATACGTTCGTTTCGGTTCCCCATTTGCGCTTTGGAAAGCCGATTTAGATTAGTGATATCAATGAGAAGTTAGTGGTTGTCAGGCGTAGACAATCACGCAGTATATGCCTTGATCGATGGGTACCGTTTATGACACAAGATAACACACTACCTGGACTATTTTTCAATTATCGATTTCGCCACGACGAAGAGGATGCGTAAATGAACCAATAATTTTTCGGAAAGCTCTCGACCAGACAGTTTCAACGCCACCGTTTTCGGCGCTGTGACTCTTTCTGCTGTTGAGAAATCGATTTTTTATAATCGGTCCAGGGGGTGTGTTATCTCACGTCATTTACGGTAGGTTAGGTATCTATGGCCAAACACACATAAATAGCAGCACCTTTGAATCATTACCACTACCTCCGTTAGATTTTGCTTGCCGTTGCTCAAGAAGTCGCAGATAGGGACTTTTCTCGCCCGAAACCTTTGTTTTTGTGCGTTCTGGGTGACTTAAAGCCTGCGCCTTCGTAGGAAGTTGCGTCGGCGCCTCTCCCGTCCAATACAAGGGGCAACGTGGGGACAGGTGCCTCAGGAATCGCACTCACGCTGGACCGGCTTTTACCGCTTGATTGCCTCCACAACTAAGAACATTCCAATGCCGAACGGGGAGGTTGCGCGGGAAAAGTTTCGAGCTTTGAAACTCAGTCTTGTTGTGGGGGTGCGATGGTTACGTGCGCCCCTAATCGGGTTTGGACGTCTAGCCAGCAACACCAACACCTAGCGAAGCAGCCGACAAGACCTTGTCCCTCCCTTATCTCGCTTCCGGGCTGTCCTTGTACCCTTCCCGCACCGCTATCTTGTCCTCCGGTTCCCCCCGCTCTCGGGGCCTTACGTCACAGTCGGGCGGGCCGCCGGACGGGGAGTGGTGCTGGAGGATATGGCCAGGGGCCAGGCCAACGTGTCCTACCGGTTCTACCCCTACGCTGACGCTGAACCTGGCGACGGCGGTGACCAACAGGTAAAGGGTGGGTTGCGTGGTTGCTATTGTTGTTGTCGTTTTTCTGGTCTTGTTCTTGTTGCTGCTGCTGCTGCTGCTGCTGCTGTTGCTGCCGTCGTCTTGTTTTTATTGTGGGGTAGGTGGGCGCTATCTTGTAGTTGCGACGGCTAATGCGGTCGTCGTGGTGGTTGTTGTCGCTGTCGCCTTGTTGGTTCTCTTAGGTGGTGCCTCCTCCTTCTGCAGCTGCTGCTTATTTCCCGGCAGTGCGCGCGTGCTTTGTCCCCTGTACCATCACACCGAGCTTTAGTTGGGAGGGTCCAGGGTCAGGTCAAAGATTTAAGATTTGTCCCTAAATTGTCCTACCCTCAGCTGTCCGCGTTCCTACTCCATTTGAGCTGAGATCTGTCCCACGTTTATGTTCTTCCTGCCGCCGCTGCCGCTGCTGCTGCTGCTTGTGCTGCTCTGGCCTCCCGACCTCTTGCTACGTCAGCCTGCGGCAGTGACGACCTCCGATGATTCAGCGGACGGGTATCGCTTCATCCCCCTTTCCCCCGATGCCTTGACCTTCTTTACCAAGGGCAGTACCGACCGAGCCGAGCGAAACCAGGAGGTAAAAGAGGATCTGATCCAAGTGGACCGATTGCCATGCGGGAGTATTGCAGAAATCTCCCAGTAGAAGAGGATGGGGGGGGGGGGGGGGGTTGCTCATAGTCGCGCATGCCGTAGTCGTTACACCATTGACCTCGCATCCCTACAAAGCCGGGACGGAGCACGCCGGGTTCTCACCGGACCAGGCTCTCACATCACCAAGCGCGAAGCGCCGTGAGATATTCGGCGAGTCGCATGAAGGGTGCGCTGCATCCTGCTAAGGGTTTTCGGCATCTTGTGCTTACTTCCTTGCGTACGGATGACAGCTGCGTATGAATTAATTTATTTTCTGGTGCTTTCACTTCCAGAGACAGTTGTAAGCACTGTGTAACTGCCTCGAGGGTGCTTGACCATTTTAACACAACGTGGTGCGATCATCCCCCTTGCGCGGAGTGAGGGTTCACCCCGCACAACATGATCTACTCAACCATCATTATGGTTACCGCCCAAAAAAAATAAACGGAGGAAAAAAAAAAAAACGGTAACCTGGTTGCCGAGTTCACGAAGTGAATTGGCTTGTTTTACAACGTCGTTGCCAAGCGACGAAAACCCAATCCCGATAGGCAAACACCGGGGGGGGGGGGGTGTACTCATAGTCGTGCATGCCGTAGTCGTTAGACCATTGACCTCGCATCCCTACAAAGCCGGGACGGAGCACGCCGGGTTCTCACCGGACCAGGCTCTCACATCACCAAGCGCGAAGCGCCGTGAGATATTCGGCGAGTCGCATGAAGGGTGCGCTGCATCCTGCTAAGGCTGTTCGGTATCTTCTGCTTACTTCCTTGCGTACGGATGACCGCTGCGAATGACTTGTTTTATTTTCTGGTGCTTTCACTTCCAGAGACAGTTGTAAGCACTGTGTAACTGCGTCGAGGGTGCTTGACCATTTGACAGAACGTGGTGCGGTCTTCCCCCTTGCACGGAGTGAGGCTTCTCCACCCCGCACAACATGATCCACTCGACCACCGTTATGGTCACCGC